CAAAATGTTGGCTGGGCATGGTGACTCATGCCTGTAATGAAAACATTAGCTGGGCATGGTGGCGCATGCCTGTAGTCCCAGCTACTCGGGAGGCTGAGGCAGTAGGATCGCTTGAGCCCAGGAGTTTGAGGTTGCTGTGAACTAGGCTGATGCCATGGCACTGACTCTAGCTTGGGCAACAAAGTGAGACACTGTCTCAAAAAAAAAAAATATATATATATATACATATGTGTGTGTGTGTGTTTATTCTCTGAATTTAAATTACTTGTGTTAAAAAGAGGGTAGGGGCGCCCGGCGTGGTGGGTCACCCCTGTAATCCTAGCACACTGGGAGGCCGAGGAGGGCGGACTGCTTGAGGTCAGGAGTTCAAAACCAGCCTGAGCAAGACCCCGTCTCTACTAAAATTGGAACGAAATTAATTGGCCAACTAAAATATATAGTGAAAAAATGATGGTGCATGCCTGTAGTCCCAGCTACTTGGGAGGCTGAGGGAGTAGGATCGCTTGAGCAGGAGATTGATATTGCTGTGAGCTTGGCTGATGCGACAGCACTCTGGCCTGGGCAACAGAGTGAGACTCTGTCTCAAAATAAATAAATACAATAAAGAGAAAACCTGGCCGGGCGCGTTGGCTCACGCCTATAGTCCTAGCTTTCTGGGAGGCCAAGGCGGGCGGATTGCTCGAGTTCAGGAGTTCGAAACCAGCCTAGCAAGAGCGAGACCCTGTCTCTACTATAAATGGAGAATTAATTGCCAACTAAAATATATACAAAAAATAGCCGGGCATGGTGGCACATGCCTGTAGGCCAGCTACTCGGGAGTGAGCAGTAGGATCGCTTGAGCCCAGGAGTTGAGGTTGCTGTGAGCTAGCTGATGCCACGGCACTCACTCTTAGCCTGGGCAACAAAGCGAGACTCTGTCTCAAAAAAAAAAAAAGAGAAAACCTGCACAACTTTAATACAATTACAATCTTATAAATGAATTAAGAATTAGAATGTACATAATATTTTAAAAGGATCAAACTAAAACACTTTCTATTATGAAATATGAAATGTCTTAAATGCTAGCTTAGAAAAGTTGAGTATTTACAGCTTTCACAGTATATTCTTATGAATTTGACTGAAGTTTACTACGTACGTTTGAGGGTTAAACAGTTAGAGAGTTGGAAACACTGTGTGCAAGTGTGAACGAAGCAGCTGCACTAAAGCTGAAGCTAAACAAGAGAGAGAAAGGATTAGTTTCATGAAATAATTCACAACAAACCCCCACAACCATCCCAAGTACGCAAGTAGATCACTACACTAATATTTCTTATTTCCTTCAATGAACAACGCTCCTGTTTCATAAAGCTTACTTAAAATAAAACAAAATGCTAATGTATCATTACTCTATTAGTTACCAGAAAACTGAAGAAACTTAGCTTTTGAAATAGACATTTCGAAATTTGGAGGTATTATTTTTAGAGTAAAAGAAACTTTGTGTTATCTCAATTCAATTAGACAAAATCAATACATATCAATCCCAAAAAGATAAAGGATAAAATGGGAGATTGATTTTATACAATGCTTAGTGTCCTATATCCCAAGAAAAGAGTGATAATAACGCAATCTTTGGATTCCCAAACAGATCTTATATCCTTTTTTTTAGTGATGTTCTCTGTTACTGAACTAGAACTGCAAGACAGTAGTTATAAAACAGAAAACACAACATATAGCTTTCTGTAATAAAGATCACTATGTCAACAGTAGACAGTTCATCATTCTTTTAGTAAAATTTACCTCATCTCCTAGTTAATAGAAACAAAATAAAATATTGGTGAGTTATTTCTAAAAGTAAGTTTTCTCCTTTCACCAGTACGCTGAGGTAGATAAAAGCCCATGAAGAACATAGTTTCTATCAACACATCATCCGGTCTCCATTTCATTGAAATATGCATAGGAGACAATTATAATTTCCTCAAGGAGATGTGTATTTTAAACAAAATGTTCCCAGGACCTGAAAAGGTTGTAAGTATAACACAAGATCATACATTCGAAAAAATGTTAACATGTATTTGGACAGCACCCTGAAATAAGACTTAAAAGTCCAAGGACATGAATTCACAATTATTCCAGTTGCAAACTCATGACCCTGTTTGGACTGGGCTAAATCATGATCCACACTTTTTTTTTGGTGAAGACAGTCTCGTTCTGTTGCCCAGGCTAGAGTGCAGGGGCATGTAGCATCATCATAGCTCACTGCAACCTCAAACTCCTGGTCGAGTTTCTTGCTTTAGCCCCTGAGTAGCTAAGACTACAAGCACATGCCACCAAACCCAGCCAATTTTTTAATTCTTTGTAGAAAAGGGGTCTTGTCATGTTGTTCAGGCTGATCTTAAACTCATGGCCTCAAGTGGTCCTCCTGCCTCTGCCTCCCAAAGTGCTGGGATTACAGGTATGAGCCACACGCTGGACAACAAACACTTTTTTTTTTTTTTATCTAATAAATGCGTGAAGAACCAAAATGCACCACAGCAAATGCCTAACTTGTAAAGTGGCAAATTACTTGATAACCTTAAAAACAGAAATCATAGCTACTTAATATATGCCTTCAATCCTTCCGAAATGATGCATGCTCTCAGATAAACTGACTGCCTTTAGTATGGCTTAACAGATAAATCATGAAATCAGCAATACTATTTCTTAACAAAGAAAGGTCAGCCCTGTACTGTGAA